AGAATGAGGATAAATAGCAGGGCAAGTCTCTCAGTTTGATTGTGTGATGCCTCTGCCTTCTGGGACGATTGTTCCGGGTTGGGATGAGAGGGATGACACAACTTGTCGCTATCAGATTGTGCTCCCGCACTTCCATGGCTGCTCCTGGATGTCATTGCCATTGTAGAGCTCATCACTGTTATGCTCTTCGGGATTTCAGCTCTTAAGTTATGCGCTGTCTCTATCCTCTGGCAACCAGGACGAGCACACCTCTTGACAGACTTCTTCCGCATGATCACAATACCCAACAAGAGTGGCAAGTTTTTTGTTTCAAAGATCGATAGGGTTGGGAGTAAAGAGAAAAGATCTCGGATTTGCCGTGTGGGGTTTGCGAAATACAGTGTAACATGTTTCAATTTTTTTATTTTGACGTCACTCACTGTCATCAAGCAAGTCTCTTCCCTTCCTCCACTGAAAGCTACCGGCACTCCGCAATGGTGTTGGTGATTGGTGAGACATTAAGGAGAGAAGTAGAGCAAACGTAGATTAGTAACAGAATCAGAGGATGTCACAGCAGCAAGGCACTTGGTTAATGAACACCTATGCTTCGTTCCATAGAAGGCATGAACGGCTCAAGAATTACGTCCACAATGGATTCCGATACCCCTTGCCACCGTGGGGCCGAGCAGTGATGGGGTTCGTCTACTTTACACTCCCAGTGATCGGTGGCTATCACGTGATGCAATGGGCAATCTCAAAGTCGCATGAAGAAATTGGAGAAAGAGGTTCGTGTCTACCGTAGTTCCAATGGATGGTACTTTTCATGCTACTACCCTGCCACTCACACGGCTCCCATCTTATTCAATTACTGTTTGTGTGGTGTTTTAGGAGAAAAACTACGGAACAAGCGCATCGAAGGGATTGGCGACAAAGTGGTGGTAGATGAGGCCACCGGTCAAACGAAAAAGGTCGGAGCGGGTGGTTGGGGCGGTGGCGTCAATTTGGCCGTCAGCAACGAAACCATCCAAGAGCGCAATCTAAGAAGGCTGAAAAAGTGGTTGAAGAAGCAGCGCAAATTAAAAAGGAAAAGGGAGAAGGAAGAGGCTGCCAAGCTACAACAAACAGTAGAAAGCAACACAGATAGCTGACAAGGGTGGCAGCCAACAACGGACAGAACATGCATGGGACCTTGCCATTCAGCACAAAGGCAGCCATCCAACCAACCAACCGATCAGCCACGAAACAAGCAAGTTTTTGCATGATATGATTGAATGGATTGGCGATATAGATGACTTGTCAGGATCCGGGACTTGCTTCTAACCTTCTGGACAATCAGTGGTGACTAGTTGTTTCGAAGATCATGAACACCGTGTCATGGCTGGCTGCTCTTCACTGCTTTCTTGTTTAAAAGCAGCCAACGAAGGCAGGAAGTTGAGCCTGGCTGCATTTCAATCTGCACACGTAATGAAATATGTAACGACTGACCTTCATGCGCCTGCCAGAGTGATGCATGGCATGATGGGAAAGTCTGATGACCTACCGTAGAATATCTTTATAGCTATCATAGATACGGTATCTGCGGCAGAGCGCAATCATAGTTCTGAGCGAATGGAAGAGAGGATGGTGATTCAATCGTCGCTACAGGCCTTCTGCTTCTATACTTATGTGCATGTGGAACAAAATGTACCACAGCGAGCTAAAATTTTGTTTTTGTGGTGAACCCGCAACCAGATCCAGGATTGTTCCAGGATTGAGATTCGTCGCATCGGCCAATAAGCGGAAGGACAAAGCTAGCTGCACATTCCTACAAATATTGAATTTCAACTAAAGTTGTTCTTTGATGGTAATGGGGGTATACCTAGAGTAAGGAAGTTATCTACGGAAGCTGATGATGGGTTTCTTTATTGAAGCGTGGCTATTTGTAACCAGCGGCAGAGTGGTTGATGATTGGGAGTGGGTCTATTCTATGCGAACTCCAGTCTGTAAAAGTTGTGGCACTTCGTTGGTTTGGTTAAATAATGTGGTATGTTGCCATGTTTGTTTTGGTGTGACACACTTTTGTGTCCAGTCTGTAACAGTTGTCGCACTTCATTTGGTTTGGTTAAATAAGATGTGGTATGTTGCCATGTTTGTTTTGGTGGGACGACCCTTTTGTGTTTGGTTGCATGCGCTGGGCGCCTGAAATCTCTTGTAGGCATACGCCCATGGCCCATGCAATCAATGGGACTGACTACACACTTGCCATATCGAATGCTCCCATTTCGACATAGGACGCAGATGACTTGGTTGTGGATGCATCCTTGTCTGTGTTATTGCTGGTATTGGTATTGGACAAGTATCGTCGACTCTGTCCGTTGCATCCACAGGGAAAGGAATAGAGCGACAGTCCATAGACGGTGCAAAAGGCAATGGGTGCCAAGAGGAGCAAGAATTGTCCCGCCACCACCGCAGTCGAGAGTGGATCTTGGCGCCATTGCAAGGCCGTGTAGATTGTATCATCGTCTTCCGGTGTTTGGGGGTTACCAATCCCGAGATAAGCATGAATAAAGGTCCAAATCAGGTAGAGGAAGAGATATCCGAGAATGAGTCCAATATGCCGAATGCGTAGTGGAATCTTGTTGAGCAGCAGCCCATCCAACAAGAGCAACCCCAAGACGACTCCATGGACCATAAAGTTGCGATAGTAGAATCCAGCAGCGCTTCCATCCCACTCCAAACCCCAGTACCCAATGGCCACCACAATTTCCGCCGGAGCTGCAACGGTGAAGAGACACCAGACAATCTTGTGCAGCATCGTCACGTCCGTCGCGGTTGCTTCTTCCGCTTTGGCAAGGACCGTGGCTCGAAAGGTCAGCATCCAACTCAGCGTCATGTAGAGGATTGTCACCATCAACGACCAATGCGTGAGATACGCCAAGTAGAAGAGCTTGGGTTCCGCCGCCAAGATTCCATCGACCAGGGAACTCGCCGACCACACGGTGATGATGGTCTTGCCCAACATAGTCCATCGGCCTGCTGGCGCAAAGGTAGCGGGTCCATGAAGCGTGGGACCATTGACTTCGGTCGCATCAAATGCTCGATGACGAAGCTCCGACGTGACTCGGCCACAGCAACATGGGCCGCCGGACAAGTCAACCTTGGAAGGTTCATTGTCACCCAGGCCCACGGTGATTTTCAACGGCACGACAGTGGAGCTGTTGCTGATTGACGGCATCTTGCACTTCTTCTTTTCTTGTATTCTAGTCAGGACAAGCTAGACCACTTCCTCAAACGGTCAAGCAGAGACGACAAGCTAGCAAGACCACTTCCTCAAACGATCAAGCAAAGACAACAACAAGATCAACAACAACAATGAGATTGAGACATGCAGACGATCGTTGGCGATCAGTTCGCGAGAAACTCGAATGAGCCGGCCTCTCATTCGTGCATCATCCGGAATCTTCGAGAACACGGCAACGGCTCATTCATGACCCTTTTTGACATTTCTCAAATGACCCTCACAATGCGGTTCCGCGTAAAAGAGCTTTTGTGCTTCTTCTTGCATCGAATCTTCTTGCTCAGTCTTGCTACTAGCTTTATGCTCAGTGCTGTCGTGCCCTTGTGCCCATCACAAACAACAATACCGACACTGATGATGATGTCCTTCGCTTTGCAGGCATGTCTGTCATGAGGGGGCTTTTCCAGCCAGAGAGGAGGAAAGGGTCCGACTCGACCGTCTCACAAAACACAGCTGACCAGCACAGTAAAAAGTACCTGCAACCAACCATACAACCACCATGAATCTGTTTCGCCATGAAAACAACGTAGCACAGCGCCTCCCCCGTGAAAATCAAGGCGTGGCTCGTCTTTGGTACGATGACGATGATGAAAGTAGCAGTGATGAAGAAGAGACGATTGACTGTAGTTATTTCGACTTTTTTGCGGGAAGCGACAGCGATGACGACAGCTTGAGTCTACCCGGAGGAATGGACGAAATGGGACGCACACTCTACTTTGATGTGTCTCGTCGCCGACGCACCACGGAACTGGGACGAGCCCTCAAGGCCGGCAATGCAGGTCTCAAATTAATTCAAGATTTGGTAGACCGAGAAATGCAAACCTATGCCTCCAAACAAATGATTCCATCCCGTAGTCGTCATCCGCTCAATCGCCCTGCCGCGGACGGACGGTTGCCTCTCCACTTGGCGTGTGCCAACGGCAACAAGGCCATCATTCAGTTCCTTGCATCGGCATACCCCAAGGCCATTGCCAAGACCGATGACGATGAAATGTTTCCTCTGCACATTGCCTGTGCCCAATGTGACAAGGATACCATTCACTATTTGCGGTCGCGACACCCACAAGCACTCGTCCGTGCCGACAGCGTGGGACGACTTCCGATCCACATTGCCTGTACCGTGGGAGATAAAGACGTCATTGACTATCTGGCCACGGCACGGCCCAAAACTCTCACCAAGCCAGATTACCGAGGAAAGCTGCCCATTCATGTGGCTTGTTCTTTGGACGACCAAGAGGATATCATTGACTATCTCGCATACACGTGTCCTCACTCGTTGGCCACGTCGGATTACAAGGGGAAACTGCCAATCGATGTGGTCCTGGATCGAAGGTCCTACAAGAAAAAGGGACCGTCTCTGGCCACCATTCAACGAATGATCACACTCTGTCCCGAAAGTCTCCTGGTTGTCAACCAAACCACGGCCATCAAAAGCACGGCACTGCAACGACTGCTCTTTCGAGATCATGTCGAGCTGGGTTTACTCCAAACCATGGTGGAAACCTTGCCGACTACTCGTGGTATCGCCGTTGCAGCGAACTTTCGGTGGGTGGAAACAATTGCGACCGCCGTTACGGCTCCCGGCATTGTCATTGCGCCTGACGATCCAACAACCGCTGACGGCTTGACCATAACCAGGGATATTGCCGTCGAGCTGGCCAAACTCTTTTGGAAAGTAGAATCTCTCGAGCTGCAAGCCAAGGCTTGGACGCAGGGAGCCTTTTGCCACTTTATGGGACAACTGGCATCGGCACCAGCCACCTTTCGGAAACTCTCTCTGTCGCTTCCTTCGTATGCCATGTCGACGAGACCTTCCAAAACACGAGTGGCCTTTGAGAGGGCGCTCATGCACAATACACACATATCCGACCTGCGTTTCGACGTGTGTCAGGATGACAGGCTAAGCAACAATAAGGATGGCTTGTTGCTCCAAGCACTGGTACGAGGCGTACAGAGGAGATCAACACGACAATGTTTGGATCGGCTGGAGCTGGCAAACTTTTCCTTTCCCAAACTGGGTGAACTGGTGTGCCATGTGTCGAGATCCCTGGTGCTGCGGGGAATACAAGTGCGGGGGGTTGGACGGCACAAACCATCCGGGGAGGATGGAGAACCACGATTGGAAGAACTGACCATTCATCGTGGCTCCGGGATGACGGGTGCTTCTTGCAGGAACGTCGTTTTGGGAATGCGACAATCCTTTGGGCATCTTCGGAGGTTAGATGTCGATTGGGACTTTGACCCACGCAACAATGATAATGCCGAGGCTGGCAAGACATGCCTGGAACATCCCCACCGTCTTCTTCCGTTCTTACGGGAGGCGTCAAGGCTGGAGTCGCTGACGATGAGGGGTTGCCGCATGGATCCAGCCGACATTGTCCAAGCGCTCAAGGAGAACCACTCGATTCGAACATTGCGCTTGGTGCCACGTACTGAATATCCCGTACTCAAAGTGGATGATGGATTCGTGGAGCTCCTGGAACGGCACAATGCCTCGCTGGCAGACATCAACCCATTGCAACAATCGTCTAACGTGGAAACGCAAGCAAAATTTGATTATTGGCTTGGGATGAACAAATATGGGAGAGCAAAGATTAGGGACGAGGGCTGCAACGCGGACAGCTTTCTACGCGCCATCTCAATGGTTCCCTCTGGTGAGATGGCGATTCTATACGGACTCCTCTTGGAACGCCCGGAGCTGTGGAGTCGGGGGTTTGCGACACAATAGTTTAGACATGTAGAATTATCAATACACGTTATCGATGATTGTTGTGGCGTGGCTGGCTGGTGGCGGGTTGATGTGCTGGTCACACAAATGCCTATCGAAGAAAACTTGCACCATGAGTTTCGGGTACAGTACTGTGACCAGATATCTTGCTTGTGTGGTAGGTGCTTTGTTGGTACGGTACTTTGCCTTTGGGGCTGGTTCGGTGCCCTGACCACAAACACCCCGCGCATACCGGAACCAGAGAATTGGCGACCACCTTGGACTTTGACACAATAGAAGTCCTATTCAGCATCTGCCTCTAATCCTCCTGTGGCTAAAACGGCTAAATTCAACTTTTTCGCTATTGTTTGTTGCTGTTCTCAAAGCCAGCCTCTTACCTGGGGGTGTTGTATTTGAGTTTGGGAGCTGGTTCTGTTCCGTGATCCCCTATTTCCCACTCTGTGGTTGGTGCAGGAAACTCTTCATTTTCCTGATGTGCTCTCGCGCTAAGATAGAAGTCCATGTCTGCAGTACTTCCTGGAAGACTCTCATCAGGGATTGATACATACCAAAAAAGATCAGAGGAAAACAGCCAGAATACACAAGGGTTCCCTTTGTACACCCCTTCCTTGCTGTACTTGCTTTTGCCCTCAAATGACCCATACCAAGTATAGACACCATTGACAGCTTCAGAGCCGGCTCCTTCCAATTTGATTGCAGTTGGTTCTCCGCAATTTGGAGTCAACACCTCCAGCCATGAACATCGAGCGTGGTCGAAGGTTGAAGATGGGGACACCTTGCTCATTTCTAGGGCCTGCTGCTTATACGCTTCCAACAGCTGCTCCGATGTGACCAAACCTGAGCTGGTGATTGTTGTTGCTAAGGCTTCTGGGTGAATTTTTTCCAAGCAAATGTGCTTAGATAGCTCTCTTGCAATCATGCTTTGTTCACTATTCTTGCCTTGTGCCCAGAGGTCCAGGATTTGAAACAGCTGGTATTCTGTCATTATCATCTTTTCATCTTTTAGAATATGTTCCAAGACATTGACACTCAAACAATTGACCTGATCTTTAGTGATTGATTCGAATCGAGTGAGGCGAACTTGGACCGCAACTTTGTCTGCAATAGTCACTGGTGTGGAAGGTCCCACTGCATTACAGGCTTGTAGAATAGCCAATGATGAGCCTGGTGCTGCTTCCCACATTTGCTCAAATTCCTTCAGGACTGATTTTGCCAAGTTTGGAAGCTGGAAGTATGATGCAGCTTCAGCCAATGAAACAAGGGACTGGATAAGAGGAAAATCAACAGAATTCTGGTCTGGGCTTGTGTGGTTCTTCCAACTTAGCATCTCTACAGAATCTGTAAGGATATACTGAACAACAGATTTCAAGGTAACTCCTTTGAAGCTAAGCTCCACAACAGGAGAGGAAGCTTCTTTAAACTTTCCCAAGAGCATTCCTCTGAAAACATTACTTCTAGCAGAGAGAAAAAACCGGTTTGCTGGCACCTCCACCCCATCAGTTCCCTTGAGTATCACATCATTCAGAGCTTCATCAGTCAGGAAGCTTTTGAGCATCTCTTTGATGGTGATCTCCTTGTCGGTGGTCTCCATGTTATCCTTTGGTTGGCAACAAGATCAACAGCCGAATTCGCCACCAAAAACTTGTCAAGGTGGATGCCACAGCCTTTTCGATTTCCTGGCTAGCTACCGTGGAAAGCCACGCTTCCACGCGCAGTTTTGGAGCGGGAATCGAATCCGCGGATGGCGTGGAAAGTCACCCCTCCACGAGCTCCGAGGTCCAATATCTTTCCCAGTTCCAGCATTGCTCCGCTCACAAACTCAGATTTATGCTCTGCGCTGCCAGTGAAGGAACAATCTCAACGGAGGCGAACCGTGTGTTGATGTTGATGCGACGGAAGCCAATATCAGAGTAAAGCGAGAGTATCAGGCGGTGGGGTGCAACGTAAGCTTGACGCTACTGGCTCGCTACCAGTTGCAGGAAGATAGATCAATCATGTACCGGTACTGTAGCAGCAAGAGTTTACACTCCACTTTTCGAAGAAACAAAGATTACCATGCGTCCATCACATATTTCCATTCTAATACTCCTTTCGCTCTCCTCTTCTTGCGATGCAACAGCTCTGAGCAATTGGATCAACAGTGACGATGGTCCTTGGGATCAGTTTCAGCTATGGATGTCGTCTGTCATTTTTGGTTGGAGAGGCAAAGCCCTGTCCAAGGACGAAACCTTCACTGACACGGGCGCAGAAGTCTTTGCAATTACCTTTTCGGACCAAGACCTAGCCCACCATGCGGATCCATCTGTGCTGCTGGACAGTCTCAACATTACCAAAGTGACGCAACTCAATGGTATCAATGGCAATTCCAAGAACCGATATGTTTGGTCCATGGCGTTGGACGATGACGATGGATTGTACGTGGGGACTCTCAATCAACTTCATGACCCTGCCAACTTGACCAGTCTCATTTGGTCCGTCATGACAGCTCCTCGTTTGCAACAATTCGATGCCATGGTCGATACCCTTCTAAGGCAATGGTCAGGCCTGCCCATTTCTGAGAATGAAGGTGCCGAAATCTACTACAAGGCTGCAGATTCACAAGAGTTTCAGCAGAAGCTTCAGACGAGCTCTCAAATAGTCGGCTTTCGAAAGATGGTCAACTACGATGGTGATATCTATGCGGGGAGTGCGAATGGACCTGATGGCCCCTTCGATGGCGCTTCGTACGACTTTGACACCTTGTACAGCCAGGGCAGCGGGGCCAAAATCTATACCAATGCCGGGGGCAACGGGACCTTTCAAATGCTGGACGACCTAGGCACTCTGGACAGTCGCGACAAGACCATTCGCGGCATGGTCGTTTCCAGCTACTCGAATCGGCTCTTTATGGGCACGGAAGCCTCCAAGTGCGCCAAGGTTGTCATTTACGACAAGAGCACTGGGGTGTGGAAGAAAATTGAAATGGATGGAGATCTATGCACCCATTCCGTATCGCAACTGTATGACTTGGGAGACGGCAAGATTCTGTTTGGTGTTTGGAAGACGTTGGGGTATGGAGTCTTCATGCTGGATGAGACAGATGGTGACTCTCTAACCGAACTCAATACACCTCAATGTAAGTCTTCCTTAAGTGCTTGATTGGGTTGCTTCCAGATCTTTCCGTGGTTCCTTATCCTCGCTTTTTAGGGTGGTATCATGTAAGTCTTCCTCAAGTGTTTGGTTGGGTTGCTTCCAGATCTTTCCGTGGTTCCTTATCGTCGCTTAGCTTTCTTGCGGAGTGATGGAAATACGCGTCTTCAATGATCAGCTCTACGTGGGTGTTTTGAGCTTTGTACGCGGTTTTGCGCTGATCCGAACGCAAAAGGTCAATGATCTATTGAATCTAGATGACGGCGATTGGGAGCTTATAACTGGATCCGGCTTTGGTGTACAGCAAAGGGAGCACTTTGGAGAACGCCAGCAAGGAAATGACTACACTTGGTCCAGCGCAGATGTGAATGGCATTTACTTCATTGGCACCTTTGCTGGATCCAGTAGAGACGACAGGGCTCAATTGTGGGCATCGACAGATGGTGCCGACTGGAGAATTGTTGAAAGCGAGGTCTTTGATGCCTCTCGCTTCATGTATGGCTTTCGGACAATGGAGGTTACGTCGGATCAAAAAACAATATACATTGGGTCTGCCGTCAATTTGTATTTGCCAGACGAGTGAGCGAATTATCCAAATCACACTTCTTTTCATTTCACTACGAGTGTACATTTCCTGTCCAGATTTCAGGCGCCCAGTTCCACTTGTGTATCACCTTTCGTGCGGTGTCATCGAGATACCAGTTTTCAATGATCAGCTCTACGTGGGTGTTTTGAGCTTTGTAGGCGGTTTTGCACTGATCCCAATGCAAAAGGTCAATGATCTATTCAATCTAGAGACGAAAGCGATTGGGAGCTTAAAAAAACTGGAGCTTGGTAACCAGATTTCATCAGAAAAAAACTTTCAGAATTCGTACCGACCTCCACATCTCGGGCGAGACAAGACAGGTGCACCGATACGACCTTAACTTCTAAATCCTTACACAAGCAACTGGAAACTGGACCGCGTGAGCAAAAGATAGTCCCAGCTCAGTTTCTGGCCAGGCTTGTGTCTCTTGTGGTGACAAATAGTATCGGTATGGAGATCATCTAAACCCCACGCTGGTCTGGAATATCCAGCAGAGGATCCGCTGACCTCCCCTCCCATTATGTTGCAGACTGAACAAGAAGCTTAGTTCCATTTTCGTCAGTTTCCTTCCTCGCTCCTTCGCCTTGGCTCCCTTGATTTCCTGTAAGTTTCTTCCACGGTTTTAGCGCCGTCGGCCGTGACCGTGATCTTTCTGGTCACATGTGTGCCGTCCTCCAATGCTGTTTCCGTGATAGTAACTCGTGTAGTCTGGCTCTTCCTCGGCAGCAAAGCTTCCTTCTCCTCTTCGCCGTCGTTGTTGTTGGCTTCACCTTCCGCAGCCTCTCCCTCTGGCGATTTTTCCTCGTTATCCATTCCAGTAGATTGCAAAGGCCGTTCACTGAGAGGAAGGTCATCCAGTTCATGACCGTGTTGGTACAGGATGGGATGAAAGACATCTCCCGAGGGACAGCAACCGCAGGCAACCGTCTCTCCTGGTCTGGCTGGACGTCTTGTAAACCCGGCCAGCATACAAGCAATCATCCAAAAGATCCCCGCCAATACGGCTTCCCACGTATCTTCTCCAACCTTACACCCGCCATCGGGACACACCTCCGAGGCAAACAAGACGAGACTCAACAACTGGAACAAGGAACAAAGCCCATAGCTGACTGTCATGGCATACCAAAAGTTTTGCCGAAAGGCCGCACAGGTGGTACTCCACGTCAAAATGACCGACACGGTACCGAGAGCTGTTGCCAATGCTGCAAATCCAGCCGAAGCACGCCACGGCGCACCCAGCTGCTCTCCCACATCGTGCCAGAATCCTTCAAAGGATCGTTCAAAACGGAAACGAGAGCACTTGTTGTAATAGGAACGAGTATACTTGGTCTCTTTGGACGCCAATGGCCCCAGATCGATAAAACTCAAGGTGGAGTTTGTCTTGTAGAAAAAGGGTCCCATGGGTGTTTTGAAGAATTGACAAGTCGGTTCCGGTTTTTGTCGTGCCGGAATGGGTGTGGTGCCCGACAATGGCGGGCAAGGATCCTCGTGATTGACAATGAGAATATCATCGCAGGGCCGGGCAATGGCACTCAGCAGCCCCGATCGTCGTCGGGTTCGGGCAGCCACCTTTTTAAAGTTGGGTCCGGAATAGACTTCATCGCACCAAAGGCAATCGGCAATGGTACAAGTGGGGGGTGGTCCATTGTTGGGCATGCCCTGAAACGTAAAGGGAAGACACAGATCCTTGCATTTGTCTCCGGTCTCGAGTGTATTGTACATCCACATTTTGGCACACGCCGGCGTATATCCAGCTCGAATAAAGCACTCGACACCCAGCTGTTGACTGAAGAGTGCCTTGGCGCCGCATTCTTGTCCTTTGGACGTCAAATCGGGATTGGCGACATAGACGGCCAAATCTTGCAAATTGCTGCAGACGCCGCAGGCTCCATAGTGCGTAATCTGCAGTGTTTCCCCATTCTCTTCTTGTTGTTCTTGTACTCGAAGAAAGAGTTCCTCGCTGGCAAACGTGACAGTTTCGTAGTGGGTGGGACAATCCTTGGCGGCCGATGAAACATTTTTAAAGCTATTGGCCGTTGGTGATAAGGTTTCCAGAAAACTACTTGCATTGGGCTGTGCTTGTTGTGCTTGTGCTTGTTGTTGTTGTTGTGGTGGTGGTGGGTCAACATACCGAATGGCACAAACCGCCGTTTCTCCCAGTGCCGTAAACCTCTGTGGTGGTTCTGTCTCGCAGTCCTTGTTTAGGTACGGGTCACAATTGAGATCGTAGGGATTGACATGAATCAAATTGTTCCACTGATCCACCGTTTCCTGGTGGTACACCAAGCGGGGTACATTGCCTTCTCCCGCTGGACAGGTCGCATCTTCACCCTCAATGATGCAATGGCAGGTCCCACACGAGCCATAGAGCGGCGCTGCAGGAACGCAGTGATGAAATTCCGCTTCCATCATGTTGCAACCAAAGGCGACCATACAAGAGAGAATCAAGGCCAACGAAGCCACGGCTGCCGTGGTGATGGAGACGGGACCATGGGGTGCCGAGCTAAGTCAATCAACAAAAGAGAGGTGGGTTAGTAAGTAAGTTTCTCGCTTGTGGGTGGGAGTGTGGGGTTTCAACTTATTTCGGGCAACGAAAGCCACGTACCAACAGGGACGACATGTCGCACAGTAGTGATACTCTGGACCTGAATCGTCCCCTGGAGGCATGCTCCTCTGCAGCAACTTCTTGCCAGCCGCTTGAAAGAACTTCATGGTGTTGAGCCAGAACCAACAAATGAATGAGAATGACCGAAACCTCCAGCTATTGGCTACCGCCGGTAGCAGTTTCCATGTGGCCTGTGAAAGAAAAATGAGGTCACAGCCATTGAGATGTCTGACCCAGATGACCTCATGGTTGGCACGGTGGCAGTCCGGGATCTCAAAGTTCTAAAAACCAAACAAGAACATGAGAAAATCTCAAATGTAAGGCCCCGTGCGACTCCAATGGCGCCTCCTTTCATCCCTTTGTTCTTTCTGTGGGTGGCATGCTTGCCCCCCAAGCCAAGATTCTTTTGCAACCCCTTGTTTCTGCAGGTGCCACCAAAACTCAGTTCTCATACTCTCAAATGATGTTCTTCATGCAGACCCGCATCTCTATTGCCCTTGTGAAAGCTACCCATTTATGTCTCCATGGATCGCGGAAAGCCAAACCCTTTGGCCCCCGAAGTTGTCCTCAATGGATCGCGCAAAGCCAAACCCTTTGGCCCCGAAATTGTCCTCAATTTCTCGCCCCTGATCCTAACCTAGTCCTGAATGTCGACTCTTCTTTGCTTTAAAGCCTGGCCCCAGATGGCTTCCATAGATAATCTACCCACTCTAAACCCCCTTCATTTATAGAACCGCCAGAGGAACATGTGGAGGAGGGAAAGCGCGTCGTCATTCTTCCAATTTTAGTAACCATTTACGAGTATACTTTAAAATACAATTGTGCAATACATGTTGACTAGACAGATCTTGTGGTATCCGAAGCCAATAATAGGATTTTATACCTAATTTTGCTAATTTTTAAAATTAGCAAATGGCTTCTTCGATGTTCTTCGATCCTTTTTCAAGGAACATCATCGAAGCCACCCTCGCAATCCTTCAAAAACCTGCAAAAGGTGCCACCGGTACCACAAAATATATATAAGGGGGGTTTAAATCATTCTCACAAATCACAAAGATCCTGAACTCAAGAAGACGCAACGCAACAATGTCTGGCTTTGATATCACCTTTGACAACGACTTTTGCGAGGCGGCTGATAGTGTCTATGTCCTCTCAGAGCCTCATGCCTTTGGTGGTAACAAGGTAAGCATGGCTCATTTGCGTTTTGTATCTTGGCAATGACAGCTTTCGTCGGCTGAGAAGAAATCTAAACCGTGAAAAATCTCCCATTCACATCATCATCATCATTACTATCCTTTAGCACCTTTTCCCTACCGTGAACAACCGTGGCTTTATCTTCAAGGTCGTCAAGAAGGGTGATACCCACGAGCATCTTCTTATGGTTGGTATTCCTGGCCTTGCATGCATCCCCAAAGCCAAAAAGGTTGAAGAAGCTTCCGGTCTAAAGCTGGAGCTTATTGTGGGATCGGGTGATTTCCATCACATGGCAATGGCGGATTGGCTCAAAGAGTTCCCCGAGTGAGTTGTCATTTATTATCAGTTCTTTGTACGAAATGAAGAGTTACAATTTGCTCACAAAAGACAATTCATTTGTTTTCAGCGTCAAGATTGTCCATTCAGCGCTCAAGTTCCCCACAACCCGCAATGGCAAGAAAATCCTAGAGAACGAGGAATGGAAGGCTCGTTTGGAATTGGTGGAAGGACCTGATTTTCCTTCGTTGGAGCCATACAGCGACACCTTGAAGTTTTTTGGCTTTAACCAATGCTTGACACCTCCGGATGCTCCCTTTACACCCCCTGACATTCACACACCCACAAAGCTCACCTTGTTTCAATACTTGAAGAATGTCTCCAAACTGGAAGCCACCGAGCGCATGCTCTGCGTGTGGGCGTATCATGTCCCTACCAAGCAGCTGGTCTATGAGCACAACATGGACTTCTTCCTTTCCAAGGCAAAGGTGAGCGAGTTCCCCTTTCCACTCAAGTATGTTTTCCCCAAGGAAAAACTACAATCTGCCGTCAAACAGCCAACCTCCAAGGGACCCAAAACATTGGAAGGATGCAAGGGCCATTGCGAAGTCTGGGCCAATGTGTTGGATTTGGATGTTCGAGCATTGTTGGACTATCACTCGGATCCGGGCTTGATGCCCGGTCGATGGGAGACTAAGGAGGCCTACCGTAAGGAAATGGTACAGATCCTCAAGGCCACGGGAGAAGATGTCGAGGACGGTTCGGCAATGATGAAGAAACTTCATGGACATGGACCCTGCTGCATTCTCTAAGGAGACGACGAGAGAACTGTGGATGCCGCGCACAATCAATCATCCGCCCACACTTGCTGCACGTCGTGGTGTTTTTCGTGTGTCTATTCAATTGAACGACAAGAACTTATCAAGATGGTGCCTCTTAATGCACCTGAAAATCGTTACAAACCATCTTTAGATAAACTATAGTGATCGCCAAAGTACATGACTGTTTGTCTGGAAACCACTCGACGGCGTCATTTCGCTCGAGCACAGGTCATAGTTTGATCTCATTGACAGATCACATGTGTGGCCATTCAATTTGATGAAGCTTGTGGCCTTTCTTTGTCTCCTTGAACTCTCAGGTGAGCCTTCACCGGAGTCAATCCATGATGTCAATGGTTTGCTAGGTATCACAGTTTCAAAGACGCCACAGAATATACTTCTTGTAGTATTAGTTTACAATCTTTCTAGCATAGCTATTCAAAGGGAACAGAAGTAGCTATGAGGAAGTGACCGCGGCGCGGCAGCAATCCGCCTCTGGGGTTGTTTGGGGGATTAATCCAGCATGAAAGGAAATGCATGTACCAAGCCTTTCTAGTTTGGTTTGCCAATCAAAGACTCCGGCGTACACGGGCCAACCCGTGGCCCGCTCCGTTGCAAATTCGCGTCTCCGCTCATTCCGTCTGCACCACAGTCACCTCCATGCTTCCAAGCCTTGCCTCGTCGTCATCAAAGTCATTGTGCTGTCCGTTTATTTCAATTGTTCCATCTCGTAATACCTTGAGCACCTTGCCTCCATAAGTTGTTTCATAGTATGTATCCTTAGCTTGGTAGTGAAACAGTGGATCCACCTGCTGCCACATTAGCTCTGCCTCCTTGCTCTTGAAACGCGCCTGTCTGAATGCATGCTGCTTGTTTGCATTCCACACCCAGTTGGATAAAATAGCGACGACTGGGCAAGCAAAGACTATCAGAATAATGCCGAGCGTCGTCACATACCACCGATCTGCCACGACTCCGGAAGCGAGCACAAAGATTCCCACAACCAGGGAGATGGATGTGGTCCATTTGAACAGACGAAGCCACGACCATTGTGGGCACCAGGACCACTCTACGACCCCTTTTTGTTGCGCATAGGTTACACCGACACCTCTACACGAGGCGGGTTGGCCAAAGAGAGGTATCTTGGTCTTGTCACCGTTGCTGGAAGATGAAGTTGCCATTGTTTTGCCCTGGTCTCTTCAACTACTTGTGACTGTCTGACAAACTCTGAAGAGTGATCAGCACGGAGTGCTCCACTTAGTCTAGCTTTGGTATGTAACAGAATTCAGATCATCGTCGGTCCCGTTGGTAAAGGTAGCTCGAGTTTTCCCTGCGCCTCAAAAATCGTGTTCGGGAGGAGCGTTGAGGCCCGCGAGCAAGCCTGCGGGATACCTGCGAGCAAGCCTGCGACGAAATTTCCCCGCATTTCCCTTCAATTTTCCAGCTTTGCTGCAGTTTATGCCGCATTGATCAAATCCATGCAAGATGTCAACTATGTCAAGTGCTTTCTGTGGTTGCGACGAAGGAGTGGAGTTGGTAGACGATGAGGAACATGTCGGATTCGTGAGCGACAACAATTCGATCGTTCTAGGGACAGCAAGTACCCGCAGCACGCTCAATTTGGTGCCTTCGACGGTGACGGGACATCGACAGTCGAACGCGTCTTCAAGTTGGTTTCGCAAACAGGAAAATGGTCAAGACGAGAACACAGAGGTCGCTGAATCGATGGCAACAGGTCCCAGACCACTAAAGTCATGGTTTGGAAAGAGGGACGACCAATCTGCCTCTCTCCGTTCCGCCTCCCTCGAAGAAGAAGAAGAGCCAAATGAGGGAGAAGCTCTTGTTCCCCCAAACAGCAATGAGCTTCAGGGCAACCAAGGTGAGATCACAAGGATCGTCTCGACTATCGTCGTTGAAAACCAAAGTGCTGTAACACCCGTGCAAGCAGGAAAAGAAGTGGATGAGGAAGAGTACGAAGAAGAAATTCGTCGTAGGAACCAGACGCCGACGATTCTTCGGCTCTTGGTGGATCCCATGAACAAGTGGGCGCAATCTAGGACCTGTTTATCCTTCATTTTCGTAGCAATTCTTGCTCTCAATGTTTTGGCAATCACATTGGCAATCACCGGGTTGGTGGACTCGACAAAGACGGCGAAAACAGACTATGGTGTTGTTGCTGCGACTGATTACAACAGCGCCACAAGCGTACCTGTTGCCTTCCAAGAGGATTCCTCAACGTTAGATGCTGCCGTCACCAGTCCTCAAGAGGAAGAAACTGTGGAAAATAATCAAGAGCAAGAGGATGCGGAAACCACCAATGAAGGCAACCGCAACCCTGAAAATGGCACTTCGGTTGTCGAAGAACAACCCGTGGAGATGTGCAGGGACGACGACATTTTGACTCGAACAGAACAGAACTGCCACGATATGTACCTGAATGATTATCGAATTTGTAGGAGCTTTGAAGGCTGCGGCTGTCTTCCCACTGGAAACCTCATTGGCGACATGTTCCCAAATGGTCCTCCCACCGATTGTGACACTGGTATGGAACCCATTTGCAATGCATTTCGGGAAAAATGGAACTGTTGCAATGAAGATTGCAGAAGTTTAACCTTGGGCTATGTGGAATGCCTTGGCAATGCTGCTCTTGCTTGTGCACAAACTGGATTTCAATGTTCCTTGCAGTGCACGAGCAGTGCGTTCTCTCCTACATCAGCATCTGTGGTGGCGTCCACTGTGGTTGCATTCTTGATATCTTTCTTGTTGTAAGAAAATGTCTTGCCTCAAATCGAACCTATGATCTGCCCCAGATCTGCATTCTAACCCAACATCCCGCGGAGGCTGTATTTATTAAAAAGCCCACCGAAGCCAAGTTCATTCTTTTACATACATACTAGTATGATGTTGTCCACTAAGTTAGAACATTCATCTATAAACTGAACTGCATTATTTGTTTTGCATTGAGTTTGGTAGTTCCTACTTCATGTTCTGTTCCTTCAAAACTAGAATTCCCTCCTGTCTTTGCTCCCCAGAACTAGCCTTAGCTGATGCAACTAGCCAGTAGAAGCGGTACGGCGCACCGAAAGAAATATGGGCAGAAGTCTAAAGATAACGCAAAAATGGAAGCTAGTAACTAGAATAATAGAATACCCATACAGGACGTAATTGTTGTTGCAAGTTGTCGACACTCTCCAGCGATCAATCAGATGTGAAGATACTACCCTCGGCTTCTTCATTCACGATGCCAAATACTTGAGTTTGGCTTCCCATCCATTGCCAAGGCAAGCTTGTTCCTTGGAACTGATAATGTCTTCTCTCAACACTGCTTTCAACGAATACATAATTTTACTTTCTTCCATCAACTTGGGGTACACAAAGTTTTCCAGATTGTTCATGATTGCCGTCTTTTGTCTGATGGACGTTCGAATCATGGGATTGCCCGCATATCGTTCGTAGATATCTTTCCATTCGTTGCATTCCATGCGATGTTGGTATTGAAAGTGTGCCGTTTGACAATCCCGGTTGCAATAGCAGGCACAATGACATCGGGCACACCGTTTGAGCTGACGAGGCGGGCGTACCACGTTGCAGGAAGAGCAGGACTTTTCATTTTGCGTCAAGACGGCATCCCAAAAGGTTGCGACAAAGGTGGACAAACCCAGCACCCGGAGCGCCCCATGCGTGGCTTGCTGTGTCCTCAAGACTCGATCTCCAATGAACAAGGCTGGTTTGGCATCAATTTTGGTCGTGACGGATCCGTCGCAGAGTTGACCTTGCAAACCAAGCATGGCGTAGGGACTGGTAAATGTGGATTGTAGTAGTTCTTCCATGAGCAGTTGCAAACTGGTTTGACTGTTGGGTGCCTCAATGGCCAGCACCCAATGAGAGAGTTCGGGCACAATATGACTGATTTTGGGCCACCAAATGTTTTCCCGGGCAATGCTGTTGGCGTTGGCGACGTCGTAGAGTGCTCCTCCACCTTCATCTAGAATAATGCTAATGGAAGGTTGGCGCAGGGTTGTTTTGGTGGCGTGGACCGCGTGGGCTAGAGCGACGACGGCAGATCGATCGTCCTTTTGTACCAGATCTCTCCATTTCTCCATAAACATGGGAATGTCGGTTCCATTTCGGCATTGAGACTTGGCATGGGTCCAGGCTTCCAACGACAACTCCACAATCACATCCAGAGCGGTCAATGTGTTACTACAGGTGGTACGAGAACGCTTGCTACTCTCAGAAGGGCCTTCCAGGTCTTCGGGGCGAACACGAATGTGCCGAAACTTTTCAAAGTCGACAGTGGAACTGGGAGACAGAGCTTTCCGGGGTGCCATGGTGATGAGATCCTTCTATTCTTTTTGATCAGAGAGATTCTGTTCGTCCTGGTGGAGGGTCTGAAAAAATGAGCGAGGCTTTTTCTTCCGTTTTTGGGCAACGATACCGGTACGGGAATAGATTTTGACTGGTCATGAACCACACGTCATCAAATCCGGGTCGACCATCACTTTCCCACGTCTCCTCACTTTTTGTGGGTTCGACTGCCGGTTTTGGATCATTCATGTGTTTCTTTTCTTTGTTCTGTCATTGATTGACATGCCAATCAACAAAATAAATGTGCCGAGCGATCAAGCAAGGATGCCACAAAACTCATGAATTGAGGGTTCTGTGACAGCACACATAACTAATAACCAAAATAATGTTGTTGTTGGTGCTCTTGTTCGTTCTCGCAACCCTGTTGTTGATGCCACCACCCACGTTGGCTTCCTGCAGCTATAGTACCACGGTAACGACCGACAGTTGCTGCAATGGAGCCAAGTTTGGGGAGGCATCCTCCAATGGACTGGTCTCATTTGCTGTGGAGAGTGGAGGCGTCGTGACTTGTTCCGTCGCCTGCAGCAGCGCCGGAGCTCTGTTTTACCTGAAGCTCGATGGTATCGCTTCCGACACCAATTTCGATGCCGATGGTGCCACGTCTTGCCCAAGCACTCCGGATGAATTCCAATACATTGCCCCAGCCGAAACAAGTGGTGTGAGCTTTTACATTTACGGCGACGCCAACTCGGACTATGCCATCGACTGCTCTTGTGACCAACCCGGGACAACACCAACACCAACCAGTAGTGATCCCGACGGAAGCAATGGATGCTTCTCGGCAACCTCCACGGTACAAGTCAGAGATCAGGGTCGTACGCAAATGAAAGATCTTCAGCTGGGGGGCTATGTCTTGACAGGCAATCAACAATATCAACAGGTGTACAGTTTTGGTCACCGTCAGGAAGGGGGTCAATCAGAAACCTTCTTCCAGATCTACACAACCAGCAACGACACGCACAGCCATAACCCACCACTTGAAATGACTGGTAACCATCTGATCTTTGTTATGGATGCGACGGATCAGACCATCATAAAGACGAAACGAGCAGATCGCCTACAAGTAGGCGACTTTCTCGTGGACAGCAACCAACAGGTGATTCAAGTCACCCAAATTGCGTCCACTCTAAAGAGTGGCCTCTACATGCCATTGACACCGGATGGTACAATCGTTGTCAATGGTATCTTGGCGTCTACGTATGTGTCAATCGATGGAGAGGCTCCTGCAGTGGTGGAAACAACTGGACTCTTCCCGTTTCTGTCGTCCGAGCAAGATCTTTTGCACTGGTGGTTGTCGCCGTATCGACTGTTCTGCATTGGTGTCAGCTCGGAGTTTTGCTCTCGAGGACCAAGAAAGCAACAAGCCTCTGACGATGGAATACTTCCATGGCTCAAGCTGGGGCGTCATTTGGCCAAAACTGTAGAATCCAAAAGCCTTTGGGTGAAGGTTGTCATTGGCGCGCCGATTTTTTGGTCTTTGCAATCTTCAACCTGGCAGAGCATCTTTTCCTTGGCCCATCCATGGCCCCCCTCTTGATTGGTGCCATCTTTTTGGTGTCACGCCAGGTGGATGCATATCGTACTCGTCGACGAGGAGGTGTCGTTTCTGCTGCAAAGAGTCCCATGAGGCGGCTACGTGCCAAAAAGTCCGTCTCGTTTTCTTTGCCACCACCAAGAGAAAAGAGCCTTAAAAGCCGATCAAGCTATTGATTCGATCGGGCACGGATCTGGATCCTACAGTATAGCTATGGAGTGCTGGGATCCGTCTTGAATAGGAATGTATCAATAGGAATGTATGTAACTGTAGCAAGCAATCTATACACAATGGATGAGCTGATGCCACGATCCCCCCCCGGACGACCTAAAGGTCAAGCTGAGCCAAATCTACTTTTAAAAGTAAGACTCTGAGAGCAGGCTAAATCAATCAACGCACAGACACAAACAAAGCGAGTAAAGTGGCGGTCTTAGTATGATAAAATTATCTATTTTCCCAACTTCACTTAGTCTACCTGGTACCAGTGTGCGATACCGCTACCTGGTACCAGTACCAGAACAGTGGTCAGTCTTGATAAGACGAAACAGTGACCCAGTGACCAAACACTCTTCACTGCAAGGTCCGGAAGCATGACCGAAATCCTTTTTGACAGTTTCTCAAATGAGAAAGTAGTTTCTCATTTGAGAAATTAGTTTCTCAAATGAGAAAGTTAGTTTCTCATTTGTCGAAAATGAGAAACTATCTTTTTGAAATCAGAAACTATATCAGAAACTACTAGTAAATGTGCGGCAGAAGTGAGAAACTATTTTCTCAAATGAGAAAATAAACTGTTAGTTTCTCAACCTGAGAAACTAGAAATGAGAAAGTGAAACTAAAAATGATAAACTAAAACTGTTTGAAAAATTTCAAAACTTCATAATGGTTTCTGGACCTGCTTTCAAGAAAAGCTATGAGATATCTCGTTCCAAGTTTGCTCCAAGGCCCACAAAATAGAAAAGCGAGGAGACAAGAAGCAAAATACAAGCCAGATTGACCAAATACCGGAATATACTGAAGCAAGATGAAGATCTACACGAATTTCTTCTCTCAACGAAAATGTCACCAGCAGTCAAAGAAAAGCTCAACGAAAGAACGACGGGAACAGAGTCTCAGTCAGTCCACCACGGACTCTGATGTATGCTGCAGCGAGACCGACACTGCAGAGATTCTAGAGACAAGAGAGAGTGGGCCAAGAGCTCAGCAAGGGTCGAGCCTTGCTCTGGAAGAACGTTGGAGCACCGACCGCATGGTCCAGGTAGCCGAGCTGTGGAAGCTTGGACAAGAAGAACAAGCCAAGCTAGGCGAGCTTCAGCCTCGCATTGCAGATATTGATCACTGGAAGAATGACCCCTTTGAAGCCGTCTACTTTCTCCTGGAAAAGAAATGGAATATTGACAAGGCGGAATCACTCTTTCGTGACGTTCACAAATGGCGAATGACAGAAGGGGTAGACGAAATTCTCGATACCTACCAGCCAGACCCTCTCTTTAACTACTTTCCCAATGCCATTCTCAGAGGTGTCGACTACGAGGGTAGCCCGGTTCACTTGGAGCGCCCGGGGATTTGCGATTCGTTGGGATTCTATCAACGCTTTGGTGAGGACGGAGTGTTCCGACATGCCGTCTATCTCCGAGAACTGGATACTCGTGGATCCTGGCATCAAGCCTACCAACGAGAACACGGCCGACGCGTCACCAAGATTACCATGATCATTGACTTGCAGGGCTTGTCGCGAGATCAATTGATGCGACCGGCGCTCATTTCATTGATGGGCCGTATTCTGCGCTTGGGCGACGAAATGTATCCACCACTATCCAAACGCATCATTGTGTTGCGGGCACCAAGAATGTTCAAAGCCCTTTGGTCCATGACACAGAACTTTCTCCAGGATGAAGTCAAAGAACGAATTATCTTTTCAACAGAAAATGACTATCTACAAGTCATTGATCGCTACATGGACCGGTCCGTGTTACCACCTTGCATCTGCCCTGATGAAGGAAAGGGTGAGGGGACTTTAGGGTTTGAAAATGTGCAATGGGAAGGAGGAAAGTTGTCGGATATTGAGACAAGGCTTGCGGATGCTCAAGAATAACAATCAGACTCTGTTGCACATGACAAGGTCTCCAATCTGCCAGAGAAGGATATGGAAGCAACTTCAGTTCGGGTGGCCAGTTAACCCATTGTCAGAGGATGCATGTCATCAGGCTACTTCGTGGATGTTTCTGGTGTCTGTGACCATCAACCAACCCCATCATTGGTGCAGGAGGCGGCGGATTCCTCTCCAACTAAAGACACCGGTGCTGCTCTAGCTAGCTGTATTACTATGTGTTAGGTAGAAGCGACCAGTAAAATTCATTGATCGTTACATGGACCGGTCCGTGTTACCACCTTGCATCTGCCATGCCGAAGGAAAGGGTGAGGGGACTTTTGGGTTTGAAAATGTGCAATGGGAAGGAGGAAAGTTGTGGGATATCGAAACAAGGCTTGCGAATGCTCAAAAATCGCAATCAGACTCTGCTGCACATGACAAGGTCTCCAATCTGCCAGAGAAGGATATGGAAGCAACTGCAGTTCGGGTGGCCACTCAACCCATTGTCAGAGGATGCATGTCATCAGGCCACTTCGTGGATGTTTCTGGTTTCTGCGACCATCAACCAACCCCATCATTGGTGCAGGAGGCGCAGATTCCCCTCCAACTAAAGACACCGGGTCTCCTTAGTCTGTGTTAGGTAGTAGCGAGCACTGCTGAATACAAGCCTTTTCTCCTGCCGATACTGTGTCAAGAGCCTTTCGATCTCGATCTCGAGACCGGATCAGAGAGCGTAGAAACTAAGTATTACAAAGCCCGTGTAAACTGTAAAAAGGAACCAAAAGCGGGATGGGTTAATTTCCTGAAGTCCTGAAGTCCTGAAGTGCTGCAGTGGGACTGGGCCAGACTTAAGGGTGACTTCAGCAGATTACAGATCCCACTTCAGCAACCACACCCTGACTTCGGCACTCTGTACATCACCACCAAAGGCTTCTGGAGCCCCTTCTACCCCACCAAAGACTCAAATGGGTTGCTCTGGATCGTTTCCAGGCTCTTCCCCAGTCACTTCGCCAGTCACGTCCACAGTAACTTCACCAGTCTCGTCTACAGTCACTTCCACGGCATTGTCTCCAGTCGTGTCCCCAGCTTCGTCCTCGGAAGAGCTCCTAGATCCCATACTCCATGCGTCCACAGCATCTGCACGTTGGCGGGCCGCTACCGCATCTTGACGGTTTGCCTCGGCAGTTTGGAGGTTGTACTGTTGGCAGATCTGTAGCCACTGTTGATGCTGGGAATTTTGGTCATCCCTTTTGTCGTCAGATTCGGACTTAGAGCTGTTGTCGGATGCCATTTCGATTGGGTTGAGGGAGGAAAAATGACGTCCTCAATCAATCTGATTTCGACTCTGGAATGGAATCTGGGATGGAGTCTGGGATGGAGTCTGGGTTCGAGTCTGGGTTCGAGTCTGGGTTCGAGTCTGGGTACGAGTCTGGGTACGAGATGGAGTCTGGGTGCCTTGGTTCGTGCCTGTGAAGGAGCTTCAGCGGGAAAATCCAGAGCCAAGGCTGATTTGAAAGTCCTGAAGTCGGGGGGGTTAATTTCCTGAAGTGGGATTGGGGTGGGGGGTTAATTTCCTGAAGTGGGATTGAGTGGGACTGGTGGAAGACTTACTTCAGGACTTCAAGACTTCAGGAAATTGACCTTACTCACCAAAAGCAAGTCTTGCATCCACACATGTAGCTCCAACACTGTTCGGTGCACGCAAAGGAAGTGTTTGATATGATGCACCCATGCATATGACAGGCAGAGTCGCCAGAAAAACTGTCTTTAGTAGTGGGTTCACTGCAAGATGCTCGCTTCTTCCGCATAGCGCTGCTTCGGATTGAATTGCAGCAGTTGCCATGGCGCCTGTGCCCACACTTGGAACAAACTACAACACCCAAGAAAGACTCAACCTTGTCTCTCCGTTTGCTCTCCATCTGGTTGGTTCTGGGACTCTCTTGGTTGTCGTTTTGGGGAAGCAAGCCATTTGACAGGCTCCGGCATCCTTTTCTCCAGCTCGTGAATGGTTCCACTTCTGGTCCCTCTTCAAACCCAACGAGGGAGTAAGCGGGTGGAAAGGTTGAATCGAATCGTCTTATGCTGTTTGCTGCTGCCATCGCACATTCTCTCTGGGCAAGATGACAATTTCATCCTTCATTCGCAAGCTACCGTATGCATGAATGTGCCACCAACCACCACAGCCCCGGCCGCCCGCGGGTGGTGGGCGTGGTTGCTGTTCCAGCTCTAGTAGGGATGAAGGAAGAAGCGACAGCTTCCGTACCGGTCCTACTTGTACCACATTGATGGTGGGGCTCAATGTAAGGGGAAAGTGGCATAGCAATGAATAAACAGTATGACTAAGGGATAAGAGTCTGGGACCAGCTAGACTTCACACGAGGCATACTTGGCACTGAACTTGGCCACATACTCCTCGACAATAGCTTCACCTTTGCTCTCCCACTCGGCCCTGTTTGCGTGTGCATAGGACAGGAATTCCCCAGAACTGACACCAAAGACTCCACAATCTTGCAGTTTCTTCGCCAGAGGTATGATGTAGAAATCAAAGAATCCGATCTCACCCTTAGCCCAAAAGGTCGCCGGGTTCGTCTGTGACCGGCCATTAATGTGGGCGACGTACAGCTCTTCGAAGAGACGCTCGTTCCACTTGCGGTAGATGTGCCAGTGTTGCATTGTATGCGAAATATCAGATGCTTGGATGATGTGCTCAATCTGCATGAAGAGAAGCATTGTGTGGTGAGCAACGAAGTCGGGGGAAGGAAACCATTTACTTCGAGGCGCTTCACTTACCACAATCGTTGCCTTCCTGTCGACAGCGTCCTTGGGAGACTCCGTAAATGCTTGCTCTCCGAAGGCCTTGGCCCACCTCCCATTTCGAAGTGCTTTTAGATCCTTATCCACAATGTCGGTCTAAACATCAGAGAAATTGGCGAGCAGGGAGTAGGAAAATGATGAGCAAGGTCATCGTTTCAGACACTCAATCGAACAACATAACTTACTGCCATGACAGAGTTGACAACGAGTGCCCTGAACCTTCTCGCTTCCTCTTGGTTCACAAACATTGCCTGACGAAGCTCCTCGAAACGAGGCTCTTCCAATAAGGAGTATGCAAGGTCGAGAGAGTTCTGCTCGGCGACCGATCGGCCCATGTACTTAGCGGCCAATTCTGTGCCCTCTTCTACCAGGACTGCATTTGACACTCCATTGTGGTCAACGTCATGGATCAAGGCTGAGAAGGCGCAAGCCAACTGGGTCAGAGGGTCCGAGTTGATACCGTAGTTGGAATCGCACGTGGTGATGCGGCTTAGAAGCTTGTTCACACTCATTACAACATGACTGGGAGATTCAGGGAGAAGGTGACATGTGAGCTCCATCTTGCCATCGTGACGGGACGTGACGCTGCAATTCTCTTTTTTGCCTACCTGGCATGGTCGAAGCAATGGAACGGGTTGTCGTGGTACAGTTTGGCTGAAATCATAGTCAAAGAGACATCAAGGTTGTCAGTGGGTGCAAGTTCGCCAGCAATACAAGCTTCAATTTACGACGGAGTGCTGTGCGGTCCATCTCCTCGACTGACTCACCAATGCAGCTCACGTATTCTCGCATCTGATCCACCACAGCACTGTCAATAACAACATCATTCGGTTGCTGCCAGGTAACAGTCTTTTCGCCGGGTTCTGGAAGATGAATGATCTCGCAGACCTCGTCTAGCGGCAAACCTTCAGAGGCCGCGGCGCGAAGGTCGACTGGTGTTCGTTTGGGGCAAGTAGCTGACCTCCTGGCAACAACCACTTTCAAGAGATTGATCAAGGTTTCTACGTTCCAGCTGATCAAACGAGCCGTATCGTCAATTATCATTTCTTCGCTACTGAGAATCGACGCTTCCGTTTCATAGTCCCTGGTAGATCCTTCGTCATCTTTGTTGCGTGAAACGTTGACCCAAAATGTTTTGATTGTTCCAATACCTTTGAGATCGACAGCTTCGCGTGCCTCCAACCAGTGCCCCTTACCCGTCGAAGCGATAAGGTCAGCGGTTTGCTTCGAGACGAGGATTCGACCGCTTTGCCCGGCATGTTCAATGCGCGATGCCTGATTGACGGTCGGACCAAACAGCTGAAACCTTGCACGATCTCCACGGAGCTGCAGAAAGAAACCGAGATACAGAGAAAGTTAGCTCGGAACTCGGCCAAGCCGTTGGATACAGATCAGCCAGATCGTCATCCCCATGCATCAAGGGAACTTTGTGCAGCTTACCACTCCAGCCTTGATAGTGAAGGAAGAAGACCGAGGCATGGTGTGAGTGACTCAGTCTGGATTCCCTGGCAAGAGAATTAAGGAAGGTTCGACTTACAGTAACAGGACCACTATAATGGCAAAAGATGAGGATCCAAGGTGTTGTGTGAGGTCAGGCACCAACAGTGCAGGGTGGAGACAACAGAAAGAGGTCAATGTACCTATGCATCCCGACCCTAATAGGTGAAGTTGAAGAAAGGAACTGAGATAAACGCTCGACAAGCAGTAACACTTTTGTGATGCCAACAAGTGTTGAGATGCCTACCTGAGTGCAAGTTCTCCTGTCCCAGGTCCAAGCGTTGTTTCCAAGTTCTTGACAGCCGCACCAAACAGCTGAATGATATCATTCGCGTATCTAGACATCCTAGTAGAGTGATCTCTGCTGGGCACGGGCAGGCCAGACACCGCTGCAATACAAATGAAGCACAAAAAGACCAATGAATGAGATGCAAATCAAGCTGGGTGGATAGGTAACTGAGCAAAAGGGGTATACGCACCGACATAGCAATCGCCCTGCGGGGAAACAGATTCGAGTTGTTAACGTCAACAATACGCACATCCCACACAGGTAAACACTGCCGCAAGACCTACCACACTTTCTACTTTGCAAACTAAGAAGAGAGAACTTGCATGTAAGCCCACAAGCCTGAACACGGCGTGCACGTCCCGGATCTGATTGAAACTTACCTCTACGGATCTTCGCACGAGAATCAAACCCAGCATAAACGGTCTCTAGCAACGTGAACACTTGAAACGGTTCGCGGACAGAAGACCAAGCTATACGGGCAACACCATGGTTAGGTAAGTTGTCCTTCAGATGCAACGACACAATCGAGGATGCCGCCGCTACGTACCAGTAAAGCCTGCGAAGCAAACATGGGTACAAGGAGAGTTCGTTGAGTTGAGGCGAGGCCATCATTTCCCGAAACAAACAAACTCCATCTTCATGATGTATGTTATTCTCACCGCAAATATCGGCGTACAGCACTGTAGTGTCAAGGTATAGGTCTGCCAAAGGCTTCGAGCTGGTATCACCGCTGGTGGAGGCATCTTTAAGGCTGAGGAAACTTGAAAGACCATCTTTACCGTCACCTCCGCCGTCCAACATGCGATCCCGACACTCTCCTGGAAAGAGAGACGTCACAATGGCATTTGTGTGCGCAGCCGACTCCACCATCTTTGTCTGCCTGTCATGGACGAACCAATCGTAGATGTAAAAGCAAATGGCAACCAAGACAAACGTACAAGCTACGAGAAACAAAAGCGTGAGTGTTCCACCATCATCATCCATACGAGAGTTGGCAGAATTGAATGAATCGTCATTTGAGCATCAGAATAAGGACGACCCAATTGGACTTACCAACAACCGTGGCCACAACCGCAGGTTGGTTTGTCTTGTACATGGATTCAAAGTCTTTCGTTGGGTAAATAGACATGGTGTAGGCGCAGTTGTTGTAATGATATCCACTGTCATCCTCAAAGGCACCCTCGGGGTAGGACACCAAGGTCACATCTCTGCGATACTCGTCGTATTGGGGGTCGTGCAGGTCTTGGAGATCTTCAAAGAGTGCATCCGGTCCGTCGATACGGTAGGTGCACACGTTGTCACAGTCGTTTCGGATCACCGCCTTGATTCCATGAACGTCATCGGGAAGGAGGAAACGCATGGAGGCATCCCACGCAAAAATGAGGTCCACGCCCGCGACCATGTCGGAGGAGTAGTTGCCAGGTTCACGATGGACCGGAAGCCAGAGAATCGAGTGAGGATTATCCGTGCCGTCTTGATCTTTGGAATGGTAGGATTTGTGATCGTTTCGATCCATCATGGGGAGGAAGGTAAAGGGTGTGACAAAGTACTGACCACGCTTGAAATGGTGAATGGCATCAGCGCCTTCGAGCACGCCCATGTTCTATAGTACCGTAGAAAAGACAGACAAGTGGAGCAACGTTGAGCAATCATGATCGCACAAGCAAGGTTACTGTGTACCAGGGCGGACCTGGAGGTACTTACCCAGAGGAACATGGGGTAGTAGGCTGAGAAGGGAGGTTGACTCTGCACACGGACGTAGTAGTGGTCTTTTTCCACTTCTGGGATGCGCTCGCGTTTGTTTTCTGGGTTGGAACGCGAAATGGTCCCCAAGAACTTGGAGGTGTTTTGGTCCAGCCGATCCAGGTTCCCGTAGACGCGCATGTGATCATGGGCAATCCAATCCTGATAGTTGTAGCTGACCCACTCCTCAAACCCGGTACGCTCTTCCTTGGGGACATAGTTGAAGCTTGAAAAGATCTCACCGCGGCTCAAGTTGAGCAACTGCTTGGCGAAGGGAGCAAACTCGGGATAGTGATACGTGGGCCAGGAATCCGCAGATTCAGATGCCCCGGTAGAGATGGTAACTGAGAGAATCTCCAAACTCTTGCGCAACCCATCGTGGTACTGGAGAGCGGCGTCGCCAATGGTCTGGCTGAACTGATTGTACTGGTAAGTGGTGGCGGTGGGCAGTGCACAGGGGTGAGTTGGGCACATACATCATAAGGGTAGCATGGGATCAAGCAAAACTTACGGCGGTGTGAAAGGTCTTTGTTTCAGCCTGGTCAAGAAGGATGTAAGTGATGGAGGTGACTGCGGCAGCCGTGGCAAGCACCATTGCCGTGACCGCGAGGCGCCATTTCTGCACACGAGCATTCTCCTTTTGGTTCTTCTTCTCAATCTCGCCTTTTTCATCTCGAGACTCCTCCCTCACGGAACTCAACGTGGTCTCACTCCTGGCATCGTCATCGTCATTTGGTTTCATCATGATTCTTGATACTGTTTCTATCACTTACTTACTTGATTGATTGCTAGCTAGTAGCTATAGTAGTGCTCTATGGGTGTCGGTTCAAGGGTTGCAAAGGCTCCAAAACTTCAAAGAATGTTGGTGAAAGCGTAGATTGTGGGGAGAGCAGCTGGAGCCAAAGAGCTCAAAACAAAGATCAAAAAGATTCTGCAACTCAATGACTACCGTACTCTACTACAGGACCTCTGTGGAAACGTCATTCGTGGCAAAATACTTAAGAGACGATACACCGAGGAATAGGAGACGATCGAAATGATTTAAGAGACGAAAGCAATCGTCTCCTATATTTAAGAGACGATTCAGTAGGAGACATTACAATTAGGAGACGAAAATTTCGAAATAGGAGACGATCCGAAAGATTAAGGAGACGATACCATACAGTTTACATGATACACTTAGGAGACGATCCGTTGAGAATAGGAGACGATCCGTTTTAAATAGGAGACGTTTTAAGAGGAGACAAAAGATTTAGGAGACGATCCGTTTCGTCTCCTATTTTTAGGAGACGAAATCCATTAAATAGGAGACGATCAAAAGGATTTAGGAGACGAAAAGTAGCACGACTTGAGTTTCCACAGAGGTCCTGTAGCTAGCTAGCACCAGCTAGCTCTGCTCCGATGACTCCTTTTGGGTGGAGACAGTCACAAAGAGTTTTACAAGTGAGCATCTGATCGCGCCAATGGATTTCGGAGTATAAAAATAGAAAAAACATGCAGAAATAAATTGTTTTTTCTATTATTATAGTAAACGTTCAAGCAATTTTCAAAATTTATGAAAGTAATGCTGGTTGAAGGTTGAAGCAAGAGCTAATGATTCAATCATACTAGTACTTAATGGTACTGATGCCGGTACTCGTACGGTACAGTACTCCGGGAGTACACTTTGTACTAATTACCACTGTGGCACGAACACCCCACTTCGTGCGACAAAGAAAGACTGATCTTCAAGAGAACAAATTATCAATTAAAGGTCATCTATCTATTCACCTAAAGCTTGCGATCCCATTGAAGTAAAGGACTATTAGTAGCGAGACTTAGAGTGGACATGGTCATCTTTGACAAAAGTTCATGAGAGTACATGTAATTGATTCATTGATTCCAGCTGATTCCATCCAAAGCAACTGCACTTTAGGCGTAATAAGGGCACTACGAGTACTCCAATCCAGGGCCATGAGACAGTTTCCGATTCTGGCTCAGGCATTATTTTAAAAGTTTTTGATTAGATTCTTTGTCTGTGATGGAAGCTGCTGCTGCTGCAGGAGTTTGAGGAGCTGCTGGGGGTTGGTGAAGAGGGAAGGAAGCTCAGGTGCTCAAAGCTCCCAGAGGGAGGGCAATAAAGTTATTGATTTATTGAAGCGAGTCGAGTCGAATCGAATTAGAATCGATCCATTATTCCAGGTTGTTTGCATGGAACTCTGCTCGCCCTCCCTTATCTGCCAGGTTGGTAAGCTATCCTAATATACATGCTTGATAAAGCTAGCTGCCAATGCGGCTGTCTCTCAACCTTGGTGCTCATGGATACCTGGACCCACCGATGGTATAGCTACCGGTACCGTACCGGTGTGTAGTCTAATGTGTGGTTGCAGCCCCCACCTTTTTCTCTACCGGTACGGAGCTGTACCGGTACGTTTTCCTGGCTGATTACGAAACATTCGCACACTTTCTTAAAGCAAAGGTGTAAAGGTAGGGTTATGGTTTGCGACTTTTCCAATTTCTTCCGCAATGGCAATGCACAATGCGCCCACGACAGTAAAACTGAACCATTGACCTTCATTGAGAGATTGTAGATGACACCTGCCCTGGTGGTGTGCGACATGCAACGCGACCTGTTGCAGAGTTTGGACGAAGGCATCAGACTTGAGTTGGACTCGACTCGCATTTGTCTCGAAGCGGCGCGTCAAGCCGGTTGGACCATTGTCTTTCGGGGCTCCAATTCACAGATGGATACGAGCAAGTGAATCCACGCCACAAGATATACGGGGCATTGAAACGAGTCCATCAGATCCATCCCACTGCCATGGAATTCTTTCTGCAAGGTCATCCCGGAGCCGAAATAGAACCCAGTCTTCTATCAAATAATGGTGATCAGTTTTGTGTGGAGAGAGCGTCATTGGCCACCCCGATAGCCTGTTTGTCGTGCACAGGCATATTGAGCGTCCCTTGCTCACTGCCGAGGGACACAAGTGTCACCTCAAACTGTACAGCTTGATGGTGCAGACGACGACGGCGACGACGGATGACGACGACGACGACCACCATGACTAGAAGCTCTATACCACTGCCGATGCGTTTTTGTGTATCCCGCCCAATCCGTGGTCCCCGACGGACTTGTCTCCCGAGACACAAGTGACCATTTGCCGAGATGCAAGCATCTGTTTCAACAATCACGATTGAATGCAACTTTACAGCCGTGCTCTTTGATCCCAGCCACGTCCAACACCAAATATGCAGCAGGGCAAGGCGTTGGAAGATCTTTTGACAACCAAGGGGCTGAGATCCTACTAATCAACAAGCAAGCGGTGGAAAGACAGTGGCCGTTGTGAATGATCACGTCATGATACGGGATGCCATGGCGATTGTGTTTGGTGGGAGTTCTGCATCAGCATCATCATCTACGCAGCGGCAGAAGGAATCACGATTGGATTTGGCATGAACGGGGACAATACCAGGCTCTGCAAAATGATTGGAATCGTCCCCTCCAAAGTTTATTTGATACTGTACTTACCAGGTACGCTGGCCTGAAGCAGCAGATAAACCAGTTGGTTGGTTACAGCCACGCTAGCCACCCCTCGTGTTCAGATCCTCCCAGTGGAAGCCAATCCACCCTACCGCAATGTCGGGGTGCTCATCCGAATATCTGCATGGCAAACATAGGGGCAGACTGGACTTGATTGGACCTATGCCAATGCTACACGTTTTGCTCAGGCCCAATCTCATCCACCCCACATATCCCCCCTCCAGCCGATGATCGTAAGGGTGGTTGGTACATGTACACATCCCATGACAAATAATACCTCGGTTTTCCCAGCCCTTGGACTATTAGTAGCTGACCACCCAACAACGTGCCCCTGCACAGCTCCCTGCACATTGCGGTGAGAGAGGAAAGCTGGACCGGAGTGGATCTGCAAGACGCCTTATTCATACCCTGGGGGCATGAAAGCAAGTAAAAGCGTAGTTCAATTTTCATGACACAAAATCTACCCCAACTTACACTTTCGTACCCGACATGAGGTGCCTGTGCAGTCGGAACTGTGAAGAAAAGCAAGCCGCTGTGCAATACTGGGTTCTTTTGTGTCCTCCAAGCGTGCCAGTTATGTCTGCGGCATTCAAATTCCGCTTGGGGACAATCGATCGACGTCGGTCTTGTGCCATTCGGTACCGGTACCAGTACCCGTACCGGTACATCGTACTTTGCACTCTGCTCTCTCCTCTCTCCTCTTGTTGCAAGGGCCTGAGCAAACTCTTAGCCATGAAAATTACTTGGACAGAGAGAGAGAGTTTCGATCCAGAACATGGCTCCGTAAACCCCACACAAATCAAGAAACCAAAGATTACAACACGCAACTGCCAATCCGACACCCAAGCCACCAAGAACGCAACCATGGACAACAGCACCGTTGAAACCGTCGACTTCACATCAATGGATGAGGCAAGCTCCTCATCATCACTGGACGACAATTTTGTTCTGAACGGCCCAACCAATGCCTTGATAGCTTTTGGGTCTCTTGTACTGTTAGCGATTGTTGCAACAATAATCTGCCAATGTAACGAAAAGCGTCAAGTTGCCGCAGACTTAACTAAGCAGCAGGAAACAAAAGGTACGTACAGCAACATCGTGATCATTGGATCCTCCACCAAGCGAAACGCCTAACACTCTTTCACATTTATTTGTCAACACTGGAACCAACAGAAACAAAGACAAGTACACCTGAGATGGATGCAAAGATTGACATGGATGCAAGAAAACGCATGTCAGTAGGGTTGCCAAGATGCGTAGAGTGCCCAGATGAAGAGCAGGCCATTAGCAAAATGTCTTTCAAGTTGGATCCATGTGATAAGCAATCGCCAGATCATGACAAGCCAAAGCGATCAGGCAAGAAGTCAAGGCAATCAGCGAAGACACCGCTGGCCCAATCGTAGTTTGCTGTACGGTACCGGTACGATGCCCAGTGTTGAAGCCTCCATGCCGGTACACTATGTATAACTATGTATACATATCCGTGACGGTTCAGATGCGAGAAGGCATCCATAGAGTTGAGGAAGAACAATCTTGCTAGTTCAAGCAAGTTCATCTGCCGAGGGTTTGAGCTCGTACGGTACCGATAACCATGACCTCCTCCCTAGAAGACTACTTTTTAAACGCACCTCTATTTTGGACTATGCAGGCTCAACAAGATACGTAGGCGGGCAAAGATCGGTCTCTTTTATGCACCGAGAGAGGTACGGGTTCGGCATTGGGATTCTGGGATTTCAGGTACCCACATTGCTGAACCCAAGTTGTGTTCGGGACGAGTTACAGCTTTGTCGTGCGGGTTGCTTGCACTGGTCCGTCGTGGTTGTTTCTGCATTACGTTACCTTTAGTTTGTCAAACCCGGGCAAAGGATGAGCTTCGGTGTTGAAGACATGTGTAGTCAATATGTCCACATGACTGTCGGGATCAAAGAGCAGATACAGATACTTGACTGTCTCAGCCAAAAAGAAGGATTCCATATTGTCTCGGGGTATCCCACTCTTATTGGCCACATTGGGGAGCTCTCCGTAGGCGATCTCTGTTTTACAATATGTTTCAATGGCTTGAAAGATTTCCCAACCCCACTCCCGGTAGATTGGATCTTTTGTAATTGAATGCAATATATACAAGCTCTCAACCACTTCAGGGCGTAGAATGTTTTCTGAGTGATAGTCCCCTTCGAGGCGGAAATCTTTTCCTGGAATGAACTGCACTTCCTCTGGAGAGACTCCTACGAACAACAAGTTGTAATCCAATATCGTGAGTTTTGATAGCAGGGGGGACACAGCAACAGCAGCAGGGGCAGCAGCAAATCCAACACAAAGCCAAGAGCTCACCTGTATTCTGCTGTGCATACATTTGATAGCAAGTATACGTCAGCGCCTGGAAAACCACAGGAAAAAGTTTGAGAATCATCATTTCCACAATGATGAAAAGTGCCCACACAAAAGACCACAACACAAACATACCTTCCCGACCTTCATATCTCGTTTTGCACGGTGGGAATCCATCCCCAAGGGATCCGTGTAGGCCCCCAAAGCCAACAAGCCACCCATGAAACAGGTCAAGTGATGCAGTTTATGGACGCTTTCTCCATCAATGATATCAATCAAATATGTCAACCCAGAGGGAGTTGATTGTCGTATGAGTCGATCATGAAGACCCTGAATGGCTGTGTCATACATCTCACGGTAAATGGTCTCTTGTTTGTCTCCCTGAATCCACATCTTGAGTAGATATTCGTAAAAGCTATCACCATCGCCCCCAAATGACAATCGCTGATTGGCAAACTCGGCAGTAGTGACATTCACATTGCGAACCTGTGTAGGGTACAGTCCATCGGGTGGATTGAGTCCATGCAAAATAGCAATCACTTCCTCCACAGACCTTCTCATGACGCCAGTCTCATTGTTGTGTAGCAAAGCATCCAACCATCGAAACTCCAATTGCAGTGTTCCTGCCCGTGACAATGGTGTAAAGTCATTGTGATGATCATTGTATGCAGTCCCTGTCATGAGATTGACCCGTCCAAAGGGAATGCCCGTAGGAGATTGGTCAAAGGAACGATGAATGCGTCGTGCAAGATCCAATGCTCGATCCAAAAAGACGTGATCTTGCGACCAACTATAGGCGGCAAGTAATCCCCCCAATGATCGAATGGTGGTCTCAAAGCAAATGGCCGAGACATTCTTGTCGGCATAGGTCAAATTGTGCCGGACAAAATCTCGGGCTTGCCAAAATTCGGTTGTCATGTTTAGTAGCCAAAGAGTATCAAGGGTGTCCACCATGGTGACGGCAATTCCCCCCCAATTGTTATCTCCCATTTTTGAAACAGGTTTAACTTCATCCATACCAAAGGCATGCCGTACATACCCTTTATTCCAGGCAAATTCCATGGCCGCTTTGACATGTCTGCGGCGTTGGCGCGCCAAGGCATCCGATTGATCTTGAATACTCTTTGGGATTCGATACGGACTGTCGCCTGTTTTGTATTCCATGTACCGCAATCCACCCAGTGGTGTCCAATCATTTGTCGTATTATTTGGCAGCACAAAGTCATAGGGATATATGGGAGCACCACTTAGTAGTAGTAGCAAGGCGCCCACCACCAGAAAAGGAACTGTCAGGGAAAATATGGCCAAGGGCCAACAGCAGGTCACCTTAGGTGTGCCGCCAAGACTTCTAGTTTGTATTTCTGTTGTTTCTTCTTCGTCATTCCAAGATTCACCATGATGGACAGCAACTTTTTCTTCGTCGTCTTCGTCTGCGGGATTGTCCTTGTAGCTGGACGAAGGAATGGGAATTCTGTTCCTGTTGCCACTGGGAAACAAAGGATTCAATTCAATTCCGCCATTGTCGCCATTTCTGTTGGATCTTTCCGATACCTTTCCATCTGCTGTTGTCATTGTCCTTGCGTGCTACCGGAAACCGTCTAGCTAGATAGTTTCATAGTCACGATGCAGCCTTCCGAAGGCACAGCAAAATAATGAAGCACTTTCGGATCTTGAAACTTTGGAGCCTCTTGAAGATCTTCTTGACATCATAGTTTATCCTTAACCCGAATCGAATCGAATCGAGTCGAATGAATCGAATCCTTTTCGGACGCCCCACCGCGGGAGCTGGAGGGTACAGCCGGTCACACTTCATCAACCAAGCCAAACGCATAAAAGTTGCGAACAAGCGTGAATGAGTGCAAAGGTCGAAGGATGTCAATCTCTTTGAAACAGATCGATGGCGAACCCGTGAGATCCAAAAGCCAAGTTGGATGGTTTGATGCTCTCACAAAATCACCAATCTGAACTTTAGAACACAACGCCAACAAACACAGTAAAATGAGCATCGCCTACGACCCTTCCCGTATGCATAGCCCCGTTTCCACCCTGGCGCCAACAAGCGCTCCAATGATACCTGAGGCGGGCATCGCCTACGACCCTTCCCGTATGCATGACATCGTTAAAACCCCGGTGCCAACCAGCGCTCCAACGATATCTGAGGCTCCATCCCCGTTTGGAGGCGCTGATATTCTGGTGGTTGGTGCGGATGTTCCAAGTACCAAGAGCCCTTTCCCCCTTCCTTTGCTCATGACCCTGCTGATCCTGGGCGCTTTATTGATCGCGGCAGTCACATTCTGGCTTTCTCACAAACAAGAAGTACTTGCAAAGAAGATGGAAGAGCAAAAGAAGCAAAAGCTTGCAGGTAAGCCAAAAAATCCAGTTTCGCAAAATTGCCTCCCACGGATGCTTGCCACGCTCACGAGTTTCCAATGAATACTACAGAGAAATACGGAGTGACGCTCGGGCCAGCCACACAAGAACATGGCAAGGTACGTTCTTGAAATCGGCCCTTCTACCATTCACGGCTCCAAAATGCAATTCCTGATATGTCTTTCTCGCTCTGTCTATGCCTTTTGCAGCCTCTCGCGAAAGATGGCGATGTTGATATTGAGACCGCCTCGGCAACGGCCTCGGACAGAGAAGAGGAAGAGTACTTCAGCTTCACAACTCAATACACAGTAAAACCTGGGTCAGTGGTTCCACCAGAGATTCGGGAAGAGGAGATGACAGAAACAGACTGTTGCGACTCGGTTTCTGAAATCTCAGGGGACGACAGCAACGATGATCCACGCAGCGAACGCTGCAGTTCAGACGGTAACGGGACGACAATTGCTTGTTCACGACCAGGCGAATCGGACTACATGGATATATCTCTTTGAATCGGGTGTGTGGTGCGGCAAGGTGATCATGGCAATTGCCCAGTTCTTGTGGCAGCCGCCGGCGCACAAGACGATGCAAGTGCCGCACCCATTCGTTCCGCTAAGGAGCAGGTAGCCTACATATCAAAATCACATCATATCGAAACTCCTAGAACACAATCACTGACTCGAAAAGACATTTGATTTCTCATTGTCGTTGCTTCCCATGTCATCTATGTCGATTGTGTGAACCTCAAAGTCAACCTCCTCCAGCGATCAAACAATGGCTTCGACAGAATCTTTGTCGCAGGCTTGGATCGAACCACCGTTAAGCAAGTCAAGCCAACCACCCCCGCAGAGAACCGCAATGCTGGAGCCCCGTCCACCCCACCATTCGTCGTTGCAGCAAGCCCGGTACTTGTCTTGCTCCGAACCCAAGTCGTCCTTTGTTTTTACTTGTATGTACCTCTTTCTTTCCCCTCTTGATAGTTTCCAGTAGTCCTGAGTGCACAAATAAGACCGGCCGGATCAAAACCCGTATGGTACCGTCTGTCATCGTCCGGAGAAACCGTTGGAAGCCAACTGGAGAAAAACGCGAAAAACAAAAAGTGAGCACCACAATGAAGCTCACAAGCGTTCCAGCTCCAATGACAAGGCAAACAGAGCACTCACCACTGCACAAACTCAATAATAGAATCACGTTAATGGGGTATTAAGATAAACAGCAACATCTAAGTTGTTTTGGTAGTTGTTCGCTCTCTCCTTGCCGCTTTGGCCTTGACGGTGTTAGCTTTGATTTTTGCACATCGCTCCTCTCCAGGGTCCTCTCGGTAGTAGAGGAGCTGTTGCTTCGCTTCAACAGGAATTAATGGGGCCCATTTATCGTACAGCTCCTTCCACTTGATGTCTTGTATTCCCACAGGTTCCATCTCCTCAATACAATCCATCCATTGCTGCTTCCAAAAAGCTTTGTCCTTTCCACGAAACTCAGGGCGGAGGATCTTCTGCGATGCTTTCTTCTTGCTCTCATGCGTGCTCTTCTTCACTAACGTCTCTCCATTGTTGACATCGATATCATAAGTAAAGCAGTGGTACTGTTTCACCTTGGACGGCTTGTACATATGACTGTTTTCGAAGCTATCCCAGTCATAGAACTGATCGGCTGAGCACCAAATGGCTTCAACCAAGTCATGCTGCATCGAATCGAGAAGATCAGAGGGGACGTAGATGTTTGACTGTAAGGATAATAGTGCAAGAGCAACAGAAGCGAGCAGTAGGTTAGACATTATCCCATGGCCGCTAATAAGAAAGTGGCACTGGCCTCTTCAAAACCAATACGTCTGACATGTTCTTCAGGTTTTCATGAGAAGACAAAGCATAACAATGGGGACGAGGGCTTACCTTTCTGTATCCTTTCTTCATTACGTTGAAGAGTCTGTCGCAGTCATTCTTGGTATGGCCTTTGACTAGAAAGGAAGCTCGAGCAAGCTTCGTGACGCCAAGCTTCACAAGGAAGAAGAGAAGACGCAACACCATTCGATTCTTGTTCTGACTGGCACAGTTGTCAAAGATGAGGTTGATTTCCTTGAAAGGTTCCTCAGTTTCCATGTAGCCTCTCATCAAGAAGTGCTTCATTAGGAGAGAGCAAACATTGTTGCCTCCTTTCTTGGCGATGTCTTCAGTGTAGGTGAAGGCGAAGAGCTTGTCAATGGCACAGTCAACAACACCAAAGCAATAAGCATTCAGTGGCGAATAGTAGTATGTTTCGCCGGGTTGCTCAAAGGCGAAGGAAGGTACAGCCATGTTCTGCGCATAGTCGGCAACAAGACAGATAGTCCGTTCAGATGGCCTTTTGTCCTTTGTGGCTTTCGCTTCCAGCTTCTTCAACTGATAGAATTCTCTCTGCTTCCGTGCATCCTTGACATGATCAGCTGCATCCAATAGCATCTGCTCTTGCTCCTCCATGACTTGTGTTCTCTCTTCCTGACGCTTCCTTTCCTTGGAAGTCATCTCGCAGAGTGGAATGTCATCGTCATCGCTGTCGGAAGAGTCCCCTTCTTGTTGTTGATTCTTCTTCTCCACGTTCACAAGAAACTTGTGCCGGTTTGCATAAACATAGCAGTCACCACAAATGTCTTCTCTGGTGCGTCCAACTACAAGTCGGGGGTACTCCTTTGACCAAAAGTCATGAAACTTGGACCAAGAGCAAACTGGCTTCTGTTCCACGCCAGGTAGACGTTCTGCCTTGGCTGTTCCTTTGATGGACACTTTGGCTTTCCATCCATTGTCGCGAAGGTATCTTCCATAGAGGGAGCGTTTAGTGATTGCTCCGGGAAGCTCCATGACTTCTTCATCATCGTTCTTGAGACTCTTCTGAAGGGTCCCATCCACAAGCTCACGAACAAACAGGGTGGCTCTTGGCTCTGCGAGTTGACCGACTTCATAGAAGAACATGTTCAATTTGCGTTCCACCGTCTTATCCACTTTGGCTTGATTGCCCTTGTTGCCATGTGTGGCTTCCTTCTTTCCATCCGCGATCTTCTCGCATGACATCCACTTCTCATACCCATAACCAATGAGCCTGATCAAAGTGTCTCGGCAACAGGAGTTGTAGGCTGTTCCTGGTAGGATGAAGCAGCGAATCTTGTCAGTACGGCTGATGATACCAATACTGACTCTATCGCGCATACGGACGTATTTGATCCACTCCACAACAAAGCCAAGCTGTCGCTCACGGGACATCAGACCAAATTGCCAAAGGAAACCAACCATAAACTCAAAATAAGTGGTTCCTTTGCTGGGAATGTCTTGGCAACAGGTGCATGTCGTAGGCTGGCTGTTGCGGATGGAGATGCAGTGGTCTAGCTTGCGATACTCTTCAATCCATTCTCCTATTTCCAGTTTGAGTTCTTCCACGTTCACGGGTTCCTTGGCTTTTTCGCCATTCAAGATGCGACCACGAAGGCTAGGCGAGTGGATCTTCTTCACTGGGCAGGGAGACAGCTTGGCAGGGCTGTTGGTGGTGTTCTCAGGCGTATTGGGCTCCGTCATGGTGTTGCAATAGACGACTTTTGGCTCATCTTTGGTTGGGTATCGAAACTGGAAGGAAGTTTCGTTACCTCCGAAAATGGTCCTTTTTTCATTCCGATAGCTGTGGGAGTAAGCCTCCGACCGAATCGCGCACGACAACTTAAATGTGTCGGTTGGCTGCGATATAGTAACTACGCGGAACTAGCCAATGGTTGGCACACCGTTAGAAAGCTCTAAGTGTGGGCAAGCCAGCTAGCATTTAAAACTATAATCGAGGGTCCTCACATTTTGACCGACGACGGACAGACGGTATCTGGGATATGATCCGGCCAGTCTTAAATCAAGTGGCACCGAAGCCGAAGGAAGTCCAGCTTTCCTCTTGAGGTGCCACCAGTCACCCTTTTTCAACGTCAAACGATCCTGTCAGTTTCCACAACTCGCACCAATCTTTCCTTTCCTCTCCATGTTTCTGCTTTCTTTGTTCTGTTGTTGAATGGTGATGCTTTTGTGCGCGAATTCGCGAGTGATAACTTCCCTTCTCTGTACCTGGGGAGTGGACTTCCATCCAGGGTGTTTGGGGAAGTGGGAAGCTTTCTACCCACGACTCGACTCACAAGCAAGTTTGACAAAAGATCCTGCCATTGTGAGTTCTTCGGCTACGGAGCCGCAACGGCAACAGCCATGCCAGTTTTGATCCACTCCCGATGCTCGAAGAACTTGGTCTGCTATGGCCCGAATGGAACAGGTTTTTTCAGTCGCCTGGTCGGGCAATTTCCAAGGTACGATCGATCAGAACAAATGGGGCAGATCAGTTTTCCAGCCCGTTCTTTCGGCATCTTGAGAGGGAAAAGTCAGGGGAAAACAAACCCAGAAGGGTTAGCCGTTACTGTACCGTGGTTTCAAGGCTGCCATAATATCACGGCAATCTTTCCTCATGCCTTTGCTTGTGTCTCACTTACAGCAAGCCGTAATTTGATTGTTTTCGTCTCATGTCCTTTTGCTGTTGAAAAGGTGTGAACTTGAACGCACAATTTCTCTAATTTAATCAATATCCTTCCAGCTCTACTGTCTAGTAGACTGGCTATCTGTTTCGTTTTCTCTTTCTCTCTCGTTCAGATTGTGAGCTCTACAACTGAGCTCCGATATGCATACATATACCAGGATCTTTCGATCCTCTGCTTCTCGCAGTTTCATCTACAGATAGATCTCGTCGATCTATCTTCCTGAAGTGCATGGTTGGCCCTGGAGGGCTTTCCCACTTTTACTAAACCTAATGGACCTTCATCCGTCCATTCTATTTGCTCCGTCCCATTGCTCATTGCATTCATCTCTTCGACCTAACTTCCTAACCTTTGTTAGTTGCATCATCTAGACGACCATTTTCCTCGTTTCCTCGTACTCCTGGCCCATCTGATGATGATCGGATAACAATCTGATTTGAGTACACACATCCCCAATCACGAACCGTGATTGTGGATCCCGAGTCGTCTGTCCGTATACGAAATACCTTTCTGACACCCTTCCTGTTTTTCGCGATGATTGCAGCGACCTTCTTACCAACTCAACACAATTGCTCCTTTGTCTCCTCGTCAGTTTCGGTGCATGTCTGTCGAGGGTACTCGACGTTGACATTCTTTGTTCCAAGGTCGCTCACGTTGTCTTCCGAGCGAACTGAAATCATTCTTCACTAGGCCGTCCTGCTGTATTTGGTTCACGTAGATGCCACCTCGTATCATTATGCCTTGTTCGACTTGCACTTGTCTTGTTCTCTGACATAAAGATAGCACCTACGTTATCGATCTTCACTTGCACAGGTAGTTCCACGTTAATCTGTAGGAACTTCAGAATCTGCGCGTTGAACGGGACTTCTCGCACTGCTTCGCCACACGAGTAGAACTCAGCTTCGGAACTCGACAATGCTACGACCTTATGTAGCTTGGACCTCCAGAGAATGAGTACACCTTCGAAAAAGATCATCATGGACGTAACTG